TTTTCAGGTAGAGAGATAATAAAAATAAGATATATGCTACATACATCTTTGGGAATTTTATAGTCTTAAATAACAGTGTCGTTCTGCAATGTTTTTCCGATAACAGTCGAATACAGTCTAAAACACAACACATAAGATCCATTAATTTACGAAATTAATCAGGTTATTAATATCAAAAAATAAGTTAATTGTTTAGTAAAGAAATTATTATCAAAGTTTGTTAATATTATCAATAGCGCGTTCACCTGTGGGCTTTTGGTACTGATATTCCGGCCCAAACCATAATGGACCCACCATTAAAATTTTCTGTCTTCATGGCGCATGGAGTAAATCGTTCTCCAGGATGATACACACGTTCCCGTCTGTCGGACGCTCTAAGATAAAATCGGCATTTTTACGTGAATAACACACGAATATTCCAGCTTTGATGTTCCATTGCGAAATTTAATCGAGCTTCATGGTGTCGGTATTTCAAAGTTGACACTAATACTGATCTCCGACATTGAAGATTTTTTCCCGCAAGTCTTCGCCGAATGGTGTCGTCGCTAACCTCCACTTCACTCCAATATATCTTTTCACACTTGTGATGCAAAATCAAATCATGTGTCATATAGTGTTAAAATTCACATGTCAAAATAAAATTACAAAATTTTTTAGTTTATAGAAACATGTTGTGACCGGATTTCCCTTCACCGTCACGTTGCGGTGGTCCCGGCAGCTCGCCTCGTTCGCCTTTGGTCAGTCCCGGATGGATGGACCGGGCCCTTACTGTAGATTTATGCCTTATCGGCGGAATCGAACGGGTTTTCGATTTCCCGTCCGGCTATGTCCCCGTCCCATGGTCGCCAGAACCTTTCACCTCCAAGGTTCAAGGAATTCCTTCGATCGGGTTGAAATGACCAACGTCGTAGAATTTATAAATGCCAATACGTTATTTATTTTTCTTAACACCTCGATACAGAAAAGAATATAATGTCACTCATTCCCTCAAGAATGCGCGCGCCTCCGTTCTACAATCGTTCGCAAAACTACTAGTCTCCGAACAAACCTCGGATATTTTTTGGTTCTTCCGATCGCGTCTCACTCCTTACACCCGTTCGTGATTTTCGGAAAAAAGCCCCGATGCTCTCCGCTCCGCTGCTTATATCACCTCTCTCCCTCTCATCACTCACCGTGGCGTTTCTCGCCCGCGCGCGCCCTCTCTTCAACTCTCATCCACCGTTTATTTCCGTTACTATTATACTTAAATCTTACATATTATTCTAACCCTATTCTAATAATTTTACAAACTACCCACCACCTGTATGAACGGCTCGCCCTCGGTCACGGTACATTTCGCGACCGTTCATCTTTTAATTTCTCACCGATCCTTTGCACCCCTGACCGTCTATTCGCT